AGTTTTCCCTATATAACTCTCATTCCTTCCCATCAATTTTTCTCATCAAGTTTTCTTGTTTCTGCGAGGCTTGACAAACCTCGCAGAACAAAGAAAACTGACACACTTTGGTTCACAAATTTAGTCAATTTTATTCTCTTTCTACTTCCTTATCCAATATATATAATAGTACCCCTTTTATCCCAAGTTACTTAAACCTTCGTATATTGGTATCTTGTTTGTTAAGTACAAGAAATGGAGGTGCACTCTCCTGTTATAGCAAAGAAGCTCTGGAACGTGTTGAGAATCACCTTCTTCATGATAAGGAAGGGTTTGGTATCAAAGAGGAAGCTGATTATGGACATGAATTTGATGATGAAGAAAGGAAAACTTCTCAGAAAATCCATGAGCAATTTCATGTCATCTCATTACCACCATCATCATCATAATCATGATTCAAAGAGTTTGGCACGTGGCTACGGCATGCAAGAATATGAATTCTCATGCAGTAACAGCCCAAATCCTGTTTTTTTCCATGTGCCAAAGAGAAAGCACCATTTCAACTTCCCTTGCATGAACACCCCAGAGGTTGTGGAAGAGCCTAGGCCTGTGGTTTTGGTTCCCATGACACCTGAATGCACTTTCAACCTTAGGTTTGATAATGCATCTGATTTTGCTTCTGGGGAGATGAAGAGCCCCCTCCTCTCACCCTTCTCTGTGAGGATATCCAATTTCTCATCTGAGGATGAGAATGAAGAGGGTGGAAGTGGTCAAGTTGATGATCAGGCTGAGGATTTCATCAGAAGGTTCTATGAACAGCTAAGAACGCAAAGCCGCATGCAGTTGCTGCAGTACCAAGAAATGTGACTCTAGAGAAAAGAATAAGTGTGTGCCCCTCAATTTGATCAACAAGTTTAGCCATTCCTTTGTTGATCTAATTTCAACTTGACCCTGTTTGTGGTCCGTGCTCTATATTTCATGCTGTATAGTTTTTGAGCATTGGATATACTTCCATTTGTGATTCTATTGGTTTTCATGGTATAAATTTATAAAATTTGATTTTTATATTTTTATTATATAAATATGTTATTAGTATAAAATATTTATTGAATTTATCAATTATTAATATCGGTCTGTCACGGAATTTGGTTAATTAGTTACAGTGGAGTCCCTTTTATAATCAAGATTTTTTTAAGACCTGAACTAAAGATTTTATTTTAAAAAAATGAGTTTAATAATATCATTCTAATCAACGTATTCTAATACCTCGAATCCATTTTATATGAAAAACAAACAATATTATAATGAGGATAGAAATTGGTATCTTTTATGTTTGCCAAGAGTAACATTGAATGTGATATATTCATATGTTTTGTGTTGTAAATGTAATAAAAGTATATGCAGAAGGTTGGCCTGTACTTTTCCCCATTCTGCTTCGGTGTTGCATCATTGTAGGTGTGGTGGTGGACCTGGTGATATGGACTATTGGGTATAAAGTTTGCTGCTTTTGCCTTTTTGGTATGTATTAGTTTAGGCTTTCTGGACTCACTAACCTAGAAACCTAGCCCCATATTCTCAACTACCATTATATTTTGTATGTGTACTAGTAAGATCATTCGGCCACCAGGTAGCCGATATCCAATCGGCACCCGAACGGCCGAACCAGGTAGCCGACGATTGATCGGCCACTGAATGCTCCATAAACTCAGATGACCCCTAATCAAGAGTTAAGGATTACCCCTAATCAAGAGTTAAGAGCTAATCACACCAATAAGTCGATTAGAGGCGTATTACCTAATATGATAATCCTGTTGCAGGGCCCATGGGAGGGCCCATTAATGTCAGTATAAATAGCTCATGTCACGAGATAACGTCACTATTCATTAATTACTATCGATATCTGTGTTTGTCCTGACTTGAGTGTCGGAGTGCCTTTTGTAGGTACCCTCCCTCTCACCGGAATATTCGTTTGGAACTCTCGTTCGACCCTCAGAGAAGAAAATTACTAGTGTGCCCTTCAGACAAGTACATTTTGGCACCCACCGTGGGGTAGAACCGAGACAGTTGTGAAGATTAACTGAGCAAAGCAATGGCGAAAACAAGGAGAACGAACACGAAAGATCACCAGACCGAAGAGGAAGAACATGTTGAGGTTGTGGATGAAACTGATATCTCCGAGACCGTTCGTCTGTTGAAGCAAGAAATGGCGGCTATGAAGCAACAACGGGAGAAAGACGCGAAGGAACTTTCGGCCTTGAGAGCGGAAAATGATGCATTGAAAAATCAAGACCCTTCGTGGAGACCTACTCAGCCAACCAACACTTGTAGACCCCTAAAATTGTCCGGGTCGGAAATAAACCGATCTTGTATATATGGGGGGTACCTCTGACCCTCCCATCTTTTACATGTACTAGTGTTTCTTCAGGGATTTAGGCGTATGCCTTCCCTTTACCCAATTTGAGTGTGATTTTTTAAATTTTATCAACTCGGCTCCTTGCTAGTTGCACCCCAATAGTTGGGGTTTTTTGAGGGCTTTCCAGGTCCTGTGCTCGACCCTAGGGATAAGGGTATCTCTCCCTATTTTTCTTTATTTCTACCAACTGAAACTGGGTGTACCTCCTTATGGTTGGGTTTCTTTGAACGGTAGTAAGGCTGGGGGATTATTTTCTCTCTACTCCCAATCTTACAAAAATTTTAAACAAGAGTTCTTCCAGGTGGCGCTTAGGGAGGTCGACCTGCTAAAAGATTAGGTGTTCCACTTCGGCGGGTTGCCGAGATTCCCTCTTTACTGGCGGAAGGCTTCGGCCAGGTTTAACGGGTCGGCCAACCTGCAATTGACGGCCTCG